TGCCATGGGCTGGGTGAGAGATGGTGCCCAAAGCACAGCAACAGGCCGGTTGGGGACTCTGGATTCGAACCCACAACTTTCCTCTTGGTCTGCATTTTTTTAATACTCTGGCACTTGGAGAGGCCACTTACGTACTTCCCAATGAGCTGTGTAGGACTATGTCCGCTTACCCCCTTACTTACCGTGCGTGCCCTGTTTTCTCATTTGCTGAAGTGCCCTGGACCAGTGGCTGATTAATACTTGCTGAAGTTACTAAAACAGGGTGGACAGGCAAGAGGCTCCGTTGTCCTTTGGACATTTGCCTCATTTTTCTGGCCCAGACCACTGGGGTCAGAGTTTGAGACACCGGGCTCAGGAAAAGCAATGCGGTATTGTCAAAACATAGGGCCTGGAAAGTCTGCCTTCTAATCCTTCTCAGCCCTGCAACTAAATTATTTGAGTTCTCTGAGTGCCACCCTCCGGCCTTCCCCCACCCCCACCCCGTGCCCATTTCAAAGGTGGAGTTGCATGGAGTAATATGAAATGATAGGAAAGTGTTTGACAAGCCAAACACAAGGCATTGTTTGTCAATCATAAGCAGCAACAAAGGCATTGCCCCTGACAAGATATAGCCTGGGCCAAAACTGCCATTTTTTTCTATGAGAACCCACCACCAGTTAACTGAGTGTTTCTTGTTGGATGGTAGAGTGGGGAGAGCATTTCAGCTGATGGACAAGGGCCTGAGACTCCAGTGTCTTTCTTATTGTATGTCAGAAAGAAAATTGCTACCCCAGGGGCTGTCCCACAGATGACAGTGAATGTGAGATTACAAGGTCAGTCAAGCCTCTCTGGAGGATTAAAGAGACACTGTGGGGCGTGAAGAACTGACTGACATGTGCTCATCCCTTAGCCTTCCTTTGGGGATTCCTCTTCGGTTCTGTTCTACCCAGGAGAGCTGTTCTGAGAGTTGGCTCTTGACATCTGATGGCTCAGATTGTCCCTCAGTTACAGCTGGGCAAGGAGCAGTTGATCCCTTTGCTTGACACAAAGGAACAATGTGAATGCTTGTTGCATGAAGGTACCTTAATGGATACCTTTCTTTTGCTGACACATTTCTTATTCCTTTGTAAAGTTCACTCACCCTCCCCTCCCATCCCACTCCCACTCCTAGTGTTAGTTTTAGGGTTTTATTTTCTTTGTTGCATTCTTTTTGGGTCCTGGATCCCCTAAAACATGTCCATGACTATAATTCTAAGTAACCTGTAAAAGAGCCAGTACAAGTTCAGTGGCACAACAGCCTGTGTGAAGCAGACAGAGAGTTAATGCAGAAATAACTCCAGTTAACTGGGTCAAAGTATAATTTGAAAAATTAAGGACAGTTTGGCTCTTTGCAAGAATAAGAGGCGGCATGTTTGCTGAGCAATGCTTGCTTGTGTTTACTGCTGCAGTCTCAACAAATGTCTTGAACCAACCCCTCCCTGAAAAGAAAAAGTTAAAGGGATAAAGAGAAATTGAATGGTGGGGAAACCTAGAGAGGGAACTCTTCTTGGTTCATATTTCCACACAGAATACAAAGGCAGGACTTCAGGATCTTGTAAATCAAAAGCGAGTATTTATAAAGCGATTCATTTTCTGATGTTCTCCATCACAGCCTGGGAGGCCACACAGATGACAGGGAATGCCAAAAGAGATGAATTGCTCTCTAGTCACTAACTTTTCTATTTGCTCATAACATTAGTTGGGACCCAAGAAAAGCAAAAATCTTCTAAGATCTGTTTTCTTGCCAGCTTGAGTTATGAAGCAATGCTACTGTTCCTGAATCGCCTAACCATTGTACAAGAAAAACAACCCTGTTGGTTCTTGCATGGGGAGATCTGAAAAATGTGGTTTCAAAAATATACTCTGAGATCCATTTATGATAGTGATAAATTGGATTTCAGTGGTTAAAATGTCCTCTCTTTTGGAGGGATAAGCTTATTAAAGTAGGCTCAGGAAGAACCTCATTGAGGTGGGTGGCTGTGTTAAACTATTAATGAAAATGATTTGCTACAAGGGAACCTGATACCTCTCAGGGGATAGAGATGCTCTGACTGATTAAAAGCAGAACCCAAACTCACAGAGAGGACCGAGCCCAGGCATTCAGAAGGCTAAGCACATATCCTAGGAGAATTGGGTCTTTCTTTAAGGAGAATGGAGGAGATAGACAAAAGAAGGTGATAAGTGCTGCAAATTCTGCCTGATTGCAATAAATTCTTCTCTATGATCAGTTTTTCCTCAGTTACATATTAATAATAGTAAACAATGGATTTTTTGATAATCTGAGCAATTTCATAGCATGTAAAGTAGTAGCTGTGCCATCTACTTTAGAACCCAAAGACATTTAATTCTTTAAAATGATCATCTTGCAGTCTGTTGTGTTCTCTATGCTTCAGTATTTAGGTTAGACCTTCTGAAAAAAAAAGCAATGAGCTCAGTTGTCATCCAGGGTTAACCCCAGATTGAATGTAAAAGTATGAATTTATTTTGGTGCAGAATTTTTTGAAATCTGTATATAGTTTTTTTTCATAATATGTACTTTCAATGATCTTTTAGAAAACTCCTTGTATTTTCAAATGATTGGAGGAGTTTTGTAGACTCTAAAGTCTATGGACATGATCTGTGACTGAACATGAGCTACAGCAAACATTGTGTTCCAGGACTCAGAAGGTTTAAGATTTCTACTGCTTAGATTAGAAATGCCAATCCTATAGTTGAATAAATGGAATTGTAGTTGTTTAACGGTTTTTTTGCATGGTGGTGGAAGGTGAACAAATTACCTGTTTAAATTTGTCTAATTTCCTTTAAAAATGGTCCATTTAAAATTTCCATGTCACAGCAGACTTCTTAGGAGAGGAATGTCTGAACCATTCTAAGCAGTAAAACTTAAGTGTTTAATTACACCCATTTGCTAATTACATCTATCTTTTCTAACATCAGTAGCCAAACTGAAGATCCTTATAGATCTCATAGACAAGGATTGATCAATTTGTACTTCATCCCTGAAGGATTAATGATAGCAGTAGTCTTGAAGCTGTAATTAGTTAACTTTCATTTCAGGAATTGCTTGGATCTCATGCTGATTACTTTTACTTTTGTTTGCCAAAATAGCCGTTTTGCAAACTCGAGTTTCCCTTTTCTCCCAAAGAAAATCTCTTGAGAAATCAACTTTAATTCCCTTAGAAAGGAAGATTTCAAAATTAATTTTTATTTTCCTGTGACCTGCCTGTAAGGATTTCGTCTCAGCATTGGGTAGGAATGCATGTTCGTTTGTTTGAATTTTCTCCCACAATATTTTCAAGAGAAGAGGAGCAAATCCTTTTTCTAATGCAGGCATGTAATGCTTGCACCTATATAAATTTTCCAGCATTTTTTGTTGTTATTCTACCAAGTTAGAAGCCTGAGCATCAAAGATTTCCATGAATTGCAGAAGAGCTGTGTTAAGTCTTTTTTCTGCCCTTTTCCAACAGGTTGAGTACACCAGGCCCTGAAGGTTCTGAGTTGCTGTTTGCAGTGGTCCAAATGAGAAAGACGTGGAAAATGGGAGGCATGAAATACATCTTTTCCTTGTTGTTGTTTTTTCTTTTCTTAGAAGGAAGCAAAACAGAACAAGTAAAACGTAAGTGTCTTGAGTTTAAAAAATAATATACTTTTTATCATTTCTTTGAAAATGTGGTTATAATCTGTAGAAGTAGTGATTTAGCCCAAATGTAGTCATGCCATTATTCTAAGAGAAGAAAGTGAATCTTCCTGGTTTATGCATGAGCTGATAAAAGAATGAGCCCTTTGAATCTGGCCAACTAGATTTGGGGCTGTTTTTCTGATTATCATATAGTTTTCATCTCAGAGAACACATGACACGTTAGGCTATTTCCCTTTCCCATTCTAAACTGTACAAATCTCATTCCATTTTACGTAACTCTAGAAATATCTGACAGATGAGCTGGATTTTTTCCCAAATTTCAGACTCTTCAGTAAAGGTTTTCTGTTTGTGAAAAAGAATAACACAGAAAAGAAAAAAAAAGTAAAACAAGCTCAGCTATTCCCTTTCAGCTATGCTGAAAAACACAGAAGAAACCTTTACATGAACTAGATTGAGATGAAAAACTCTTTCAGAAAATTGAGATCCCAGGGACCATTAGCAAACTGGATGCCATTTGTTGAAAGGAACATCCCCGCAAAGCCAGGGAATATTTCTAGAAAGTCAGCGATCCGTATGATGGGTTAACACATTGGAGAAAGCAGAGAGTGGCAGGAAGGGGGAGATAAATAACCTTCCCTGCCATCACATTTGGGAGATTTATAAGTAACCATTGACATCTTTGTTCTTGTGAGGAGCTTTCTGCTGCATTTGCACAGTGTGAGCCTCACCTTTACTGGGCCACTTGCAGCCACTCTGAGGTGGGTGCTTACTCTAAATTTGTAGGAAAAGCCTTAGCTCTAGTTCTCCCTTTTGGCTACATCAAAAGAAGCACAAAGTGGAATTGGTCCAAGAGGGGCATTCTCTGCTCCACTGAACTTATTCATGAGAAGAAGCTGTGAAAATATTCCTGGTAGGAGTTGAAGCAGTGTCTGAAGCTCATCCCTTACACATGTATCTCCTTTATCAGCATAAGTTAAATATATCAGGAAGAAGGCTTGCTGACAAGGAGAACAGTGCCAAACCTATTCCATCACTAAGTGTGTTTCTATTACACTATGATTTTTTAAATATTAAATGTAATCTTCTCCCTGGGAGAAATAGTGCTTTTGATTAGGCTTTTAAGCATGAGTGGTCTGTGGGGATATTTAGTATAATTGGAACACAAAAGAAAGTTTAGGAGGGCATGATTTCAGCAAGGAAGCTTAGGTCAGCCTCTCCCTTTGAATTCCTCAAACTCCCTGCTTCTCCTTTTACTTGAATATATAGTTTATCATAGAGCCCTCCTCTTCCAGAAGTTGTCCTTGATTTAAATGAATGTGATAGAAATATCAGCTGGGCTTTTAAAAATCCTTCTCTTCTTAGAAAGAAACTTTCTTTATGGCACGTTACCGATGGCCTCATGGGGAATTTGTAACTCTCAGAAGACCATCTCTTCTAGGAAGCCTTCCTTATTTATGAAGAATTAAGGAATATTGTTCATGAACTTTAGACCTTAGTTGACAAACTAAAGAAAGATGTGACTTAAAAATTAGTGTTACGTATGAAGAAATACTAATTTCTAATGTTCCCTGTGCCTATAATTTTGTCCCAATCCCTTTTGATAGTATCGGTGTCAAAGTGATAGGGCACTAGTTCTGGTCTAGTGTTTCAGGTTTATAGTCAAATGATGAAGCTAAGGTCATGGTCATTCTCCAGTGAGTGGCCACACCCAAGCTAACTATCTCAAAGATGTGCAAAGTCATCTCCATTGAAGGGGAAACCTCAAAGCATATGTCCTATATATGTTGTCTTGATATAAATACACATGTTCATGTTATGTGTGTACAGAGTTTTATATTGCAGCTCTAACACTGAGAAGTTAGTAGAAATGAGGACACTAAGGGGAATGGTTATGTTAAATGCAGTAAGTAATGTCATTGCCATTAAAAATACTATAAAAAATTTGGTGGCTATGGAAAATGCTTTTATCAACTTATTTTTAATTTTTTGAATTATAAAATTAATATATGCTCATTATATAAAACAATTTGACAATATCTGGGCTTCATTAAAAAGGTGTATCCCTTAACTTTCATTCCACTCTCCAAGAGAAACAAACTGTTAGTAGTCTGCTATGTGTTCCTCCAAACTCTTTTGTGTTATGAAATTATATATACATGTCTGTTTTTTCTTTTGCAAAACTGAAGTATTATGGACATTTTTTTTTCTGTAACTTGCTTTTACTAAGCAATGGGTCTAGGACATTTTCCAGCTCAGAACATGACCATCGCAACCTAACAGTCCCATATTCTTTCAAATGTCTGTATAGTTTCTAATCGTATAACTGTGCCATGGTTTATTTAACCAGTCTATCTGTAGATATTTAAGTTGCTTCCAGTTTTTGCTATTATATGTAAGGCATTAAGGAACACCTCTAGGCACTTGTGCAAGTACTCGTGAGTGATTGTTAGTCAAGTATGTGTTTAGTTTTAATCTTAACAAGTACTGCCATATTGCCCTTCAAATAAGTTGTATTAATTCATACTCCAACAGAATATATTTGCAAACTATACCTTAGATAAGTGTCTGATAACCAGAATATACAGGGAGCTCAAGCAGCTTACACACAAAAAAATAATCAATTCAATTAAAAGATGGGAAAATGAACTGAACAGACAGTTCTTCAAAGAAGACATACAAATGGCCCAAAAGCATATGAAAATGTGCTTGACATCTCTTATCATAAGAGAAACACAAATCAAAACCACAATGAGGGACCAGCAGTTGGCGTAATGTCTATGCTGCTGGACTCCCATGTAGCCAACACGCACGGTTCAAGTCCCGGACCTGGTGGCTTAAACTCACGCCGGGCATGTGTGCATGTGTGCCCAAGATCCTGAGAGGAAAATTGAGAAGAAGGGATTGTGGCATGGCCATCCCCCCTGGGGGGGTGATTTCTCAGTTCCTATCTCTCTGTCTCTGTCTTTCTGGAGAGTGCACGCGCCCTACAGCAAAAACCTACAAAAAAAGAAAAGATACCACTTAACCCCAGTCAGAATGGCTAAAATTAAAAAAAAAAGAAATAATGATAAGTGCTGGTGAGGTTGTGGTGAAAAGGGAACTCTCCTACATTGTTGGTGGAAATGCAAATTAGTACAACCACTTTGGAAAACAATATAGAGATGCCTCAGAAGCCTACAAATAGAACTACCATAGGACCCAGTAATTCCACTCTTAGGTATTTACCCAAAGGATAGAAAAAACTCTCATTTGGAAAAGCACTTGCACATCCATGTTTATTGCAGAATTACTTACAATTGCTAGTATATGGAATCAATCCAGATGTCCAAAAACAGATGATTGGATTGAAAAAAATGTGGCATATGTACTTTATAGGATACTGTTCAGCCATAAAAAATAATAAGACCCTGACATATGATACAAAGTAGGCAAATATGGAAGACTTAATGCTGTGCGAATGAAGCCAGACTATGAAAGACAGTGTATGTCCCCACTCAATATATACCGATTATCTGTACTCCATAGCAGAAACTGAAAATTTAGAAGGTATATAGAAGCAGGAAGGGCAGCAGTAAATACTACAGAAAGTAAGATAGGGATAATAAAGGAGTGGGTAATAGATGGAGGGATGGGACCAGGGAAAGAAAAAAAAAAAGGACATTTAATCGACAAAAATATAACAAAAACCTATTTGCTGATGGTAATGTATATAGATATGCCTTTATCTTGACTGATATGCATGGTATTCGTGCTGGAAAAAGTAGTGTTGTAAACTGTAAAGATAAATATGATTAAATGTAAATTTAAAACATTATACTCCCATAGTCTATGAGAGCCCTTGAAAAAGTTCATGGATAAAGGGAATTAAAGTATAAGTTTATATGGATGCAAAAAAAAAAGGAAGAAATCCATACACAGTTTTTTTTTTTCTTTTTACAATATGCATTTCCATGGATTTAAAAAAAAAACCTTTTTATGTAGGAGAAGCCATTTCTAATTCCTTCACCAAGCATATTACTTCTTAAAAGAATTATTTATTTCTGTTTGTTACTATTTTTTAATTTGACGAGAGAGAGATAGAAAAAGAGAGAAGGGGATAAAGTAAGCCACCAGGTCCAGGACTCAAACCATGGTTGACCATGTGGGGATCCAGTGCTTTTAACCACCACACCATATGCCGACCCAAACAAGTGTAGGATTAATCTTTGTATCTTGGAGCCAGTTTACTAGGGGAATCATATTTCAGTTTTTCTTTGATATTTAACTATTACTGAAGCACTTTTTCAATTACTTTTTGGTTCAATTATATTTCTTCAGTGAATTACCTATTTTTTAGTTGGGTTTCTTGTTTTATTAATTTGTGAAAGCTTATTTATTAACTTGTTTCAAATTTTGTTACTAACCTTCTATATTTCAAATATTTTTTAATCTGTCTAACATTTACATTAAACTTTAAGTTGTATTTTCACATATAGAAGTTTTAAACTTTGATTTAATCAAATTGACAAAATTCATTCATTTCCTGTAGGGTTTTTATATTTCTTCTTATTTCTAGAAAGGTCTTTTCCACTTTATATTCTCTTATTTTATTCTGCTCCTACTGTATTTTGGGGTGTTACCCATAGTTCTCTATTCTGTTTATATTCATGTATGGTATACAGTTGAAAAATAATTTTTAAAAATGTCTGGATGGTAGGTTTATAAATGTTGTTTTTTTTTTATCTTTGTGCTGCTTCTAATTCTGAGATTTTAATGATTGGCAAGTATTACTTTTACAATAGGGAAAACATCCTTCAAAGTAGAAGAACATCTTGTTTCCCATATTTTTACTGTTCAATTCTAGAGGAAGGTAGCTATGGGAGCAGATAAATAAAAAAAGAGGTTTTTAAAATTATATTGAATTTTTAATTAAAAAGCTGGGAAAACTACAGTAAACCTGTAAATGTAGGGGTAAAGCATCTCGCTTTGCTGTCTGA